ACTAAAAAATCTATTATTCCATGTGATAATTACACAATAAAAATAACTTTTTTTGTTTGTTTTTTGACAAGCTTATTATCGGCATAATCTTCTTCCACTTACAAACTACGGTTTCGTTAGGTTTCTTCTGAAAAAGTGCTTGAAAAACTGTATGTACCGCCTTGAAGCCAAATCTTATACTTAATTGCGGAGGATGTTTTACAAATTACATCAATCTTTCGGACTGTCATCGCTGAAAACCGTTTACCAGAACAGTTGTTCATTCCTTTTTGGGTGTTAAACGGAATATACCAATTATAAACGTGTTAAATTTATCAATTAAATTAATGAAGACCCTGTTGCTCAGCTCAGTCTTGAAAAATGCCGAAAATCCTAATATATTTGTTATCAGATTTGGAGTTGTTTACCGAGCTAAAGGAATAAAAAAAAGCGAATACGAAAAAAATAGCTGTATTAAAGTAGTGTAACAGCAGTAAAATTCAGACAGAATTAATAAACAGTATAGGCTAAAGTTTTTTCATTACGATGAAAGAGTTGGTCACATCTTTTAAACTACGATACAACAAGCCTAATTTTTTTGCAGTTTGGTTGCAACGGTGATAACTGTAGGCAGTCTGTGACAGTGTCGCCAATATCATTGACCTACAGAAATTCCTGACGTCATGAAACGAAATCACGTGACATTTTTGTAATCTATACATTAATATTCATTTATGCAATACTGCCTTGGATAAGAGTGGGTTTATTGATAAAGTTTATTTACTTATTTCTACTATATATGTCTATTATTCTTCTTTGCTGTGTAATTGTTACTTTTTTATCTAAGTCTTTTTTTGATTTAATTTTTACAACCATTATTTCTAATCTATTTCCTCTTCGCTATACAACAGATGTTAATATTTTTATATTCTACCCGGATAAAATACCTGCAGACGGTGCTGACAAAGACAATAATTTGAAAGCAGAGTAAATGTTTTCAATTAAAAAAATTTTGAGTGCTTTACTGATGTCAGAAGTTCTAATGATAATTGGATGTTAAAAGAAAGAAAAAACAACCGGTGAAAATATAACCAGTGCAGAAAAGAGATTCAATTGTACAAGCAACTAAGTTTTTTCCAGACAGAATTAATAATAATCAGCATAGACTAAAGTCTTTTTATTAAACAACTACTGAAAATTTTTGTAGACTTATTTGTGGGCTTTAATCTTTAAATAGGTAACTCTTAGAAAAAGTAACGAATTGTTTAGTGAACCACAAGAGGCAAGAAAATTTTTTTTTTCATGTTCTATTCGGCTGGAATTAAAGCTGTGATCATTTAGCTGAAATTTCAGATTTCATAATGGATTATCAAAATTTGGCTGCTAATGGTCGACAGTTGCAGACTTTTTACTATGATATTAGAGGAGATTAAAGAAAAAAAAAATTTCAGTTTTTTTAACTAGTTTTAGAATTATATTGCTCATGAAGTTCTATTTCACTGTTTTTTCTTTATCACTTTTGAAAAACCTATGAACTTGTAAGTTATTGAGTTGGCCTGAGCCAGTAGGTTCAAAGTTAAGAGTAAATTGGATTTATTTTTCCAATTCCTGTTCTAAAGTTGTTGTCGACTGACTTTTTCTTTAATACATATTTTAAAACGCTTAAATATTACTTTACTTACTGTACTTTTTCTTTCGTTCGCAGTTTCCTCTTTTTATTCAGAAGCTCCAAATATAGCAACTGATGATTATTTAAGCTCTTCAAAGGTGGCGCTGGATTGGGAAGCTTTCCACGTAACTGTTTTTGTAATGGCAGTGCTTGGGTTTGACATGTAACATAGACTGGTTTATTTTCTGTGTTGTTCAACAGATAAGCTTTCTTGTAACATTGATACAATCATGTAGAGATTTTTCATGTGCTACTTAGAACGTTGCCTAGCTGTATAGTCAAAATTCTGAATTTAGGCTTCTTATTTAATTCGTTTTTGCAGAACTGTAGCTGTTGAATTCAGCCATTTTCAAATAATTGACGAATTATGCAATTTTTTATAAAATACCCATTTTTGAAAAACTTTCTTGTGTATTTTAAATTTTTTTCTAAACTCTTGAAAAATATGAGAATTTCTAAACTTATAAGGGAGAAAAAGTAGGTAAATTTTTTCATTCCTTTTTGCTTCCCAAAAATGTTTATTCGTTTGCATGCATCCTATCAAGTCATCTGACGCCATTGTTAAAAACAAGATTTATTTGAACCATAGACCTATAGATTTTGAACGCAAAGTTCAGAATGATGCCTTTTTTTAAAAGTAAGAATAAATTAAATTTTTTATAGGTATTCAATTATAATTTCTGCTATGAAATTCTGATAACGCTCAAGTTGGATAGATCAATTGGTTTTTACATTGAAATTTTTACTAAAAATTTAATTGAATTTCGCATTGTTTCTTTCCGGATATTTGGTAGTTTAACAATAATTGTCTGTTATTATACATACGAGGTTCTCCTTCAAAAAGGTTAAGAATAAGTTTATATAGGCTAGGGAAGGAAGTTTCATCGAGAATACTATTCCCCTCAATGGGCAACCGTTTAAATATAAAAAATTTTTTTGAAATTCTAGTTCTTGAGATTCTTACAACTTCAATACATTTTGGGTAAAGAGTATAGGATTTCACAAATGACCAGTTTAACTTTTCGAGGTTTTTTAAATTAAGTGTTTTAGCTTAAAATTAATAGAGGTAGACCTAGAGAGAGAGTGAATTCAGCTGCTTGATATTGGTGGACAGAAAATTTCGTTTTAAGAATTATCAAACAGCAATTTTCTTTGAATGTGTGGAAGGTGTTGATTGAAATATCCACTATGGTTATTAAATTCAAAAAGGTGAACAGGCGAATAAATGAAAAAATTGATAAATAAATAATGAGGAGGTATCAAATAAGATTGTTCAATTTTGTATTCAAAAACGAATGCTGTCCAGAGTTCACTTTTGAAAGATTTGTTAGCAGCACTACTAATGGATAATACAATCTTATTCAATTCAGTTGATGGAATAGATAATGCAGAGAGCGTATCAATGATACAACCAAATGCGCAGTAGTTATTTTTAAGAATTAGAAGGGAAATAAGTAAAAACAGCAGGAGAAGCGATGTAAAATTTCAAGGAAAGAACTACCACAAATTGGTTTGGTTTAGTGACTTTTTTTTTGAAAAATTTTTCCGCAGACTCTCATTGTTGTCCCGTACTCGTTGTCAAAGTTGATCAAAGTTTTAAGCTTAACTGTAACCATTTTTTGTTTTGTTATAACCACAAGTCTATGTTTAAATAATTTTTGGTGGTTTATTTTTGGTGCAACATTGATTTTTACCAGGCATTTGCATTGAAGCGCATGTAATTTCAATACATCTGTTTTAAACAGCTTGAATAATAACGTTCTGATGGTTAACTGGTGTGCGGAATAAGAAAGTTTTAACACTCCGTTCAACTGTTAAACTGTCAAAGTGATTTTTTTCTTTTGAGTGCCAACTATGGATCTTTTAGGTCACTGACAGCACCTCTAGCAAAAGATAGTATGGCCAATAAGACCGTCGATGAGGTGGACAGTGGATATGTGGATGGAAATATTAGTACATTAGCAATTGCGATAGATTTTGCTGATTCAAAGACGTCAAAATGTTGTACGTTGAAGGAAAAAGCCGAAATCAGGTACCGTTTAACTTAGTTATACGTTGTTTAGTTCTGAAGTCATTAGCATCGAGGTGATTAGTATTCACGGTTGGTATCGCTTTGACTGCTGGTCCGCTGCTGCTTATTTACAAAACTTAAATAAGCGGATTATTTAATTGTCTTCACAGTCTTCACCTTTGCACCTCAAACGGACGACAGTAACGCGACCATTTGCAAAGCTGACGATTTACACGTAACACTTAATGCCGAGCCTCTTCGGTTCACTCGCCCGCTAAAGCTGTTGTCATTTTTAGTATAAATTTCCATATAAACCACTCACTCGCTGGTTTAGCCTTTAATTTTTTTGTTGTATTTTCTTTTGTATTATTAATATAATTTTTTCGCACAATTTGTTGAAAGAGTTTGAGCAGCAATGCTTAGCAGAAGAGAACGAGGATAAGAGTTAAGAGAAAATTGTGTAATTAGTGAGGTGTAAAGAAATACTTTACATTTTTAGAAAAATGGATGAACCAATTTTAGAAATATTTATAATTTTTGCTACTGCTACCGTCCGTCCGTCCGTACATCAAACGGATGGAAAACAGAGAGGAATGATTGGGTGTAGAAAAGAATTTAACCAAAGCACAGTGTGCAAAAACAGGTTTTTGTTGGTCATCCTCGCCGCTGTCATCAATGTATTGTATGTTACCGAAAAAAACGTTTATGGCCTTTGACTGTGCATACAGACGGTGACAGCTGACCGGTGTAAAGAACTTTTTGTTACTTTCGCCTTCATTTGTTTCTTTCTTTTGCTTCTATCTTTGTTTCTTTTTTTTCTTTTTTTTGAGATGAGTTGAAAAGGAAATTGTTTAAGAAGAATTAAAAAACCATTGCTGTAGTTGACTTAATGTCAAGCCACAGTGACGGTCGTGTTACTGGCTTGAATTGTTCCCTGTCTTAATCGAGCTGAAATTTTGGTGGTTGCTCAACAATTCAACTGTTGTTGAGAAGGTAAAATAGGAAATAGTTGTAAACACTAGTTATGAATTATATTTTGAATAAACACAACTTAACTAGCAAGTGATTTTTGAATTTGGAGGTGAAGAGGTGTATATAAGCATGAAGTTTTTTCGTTTATATAAAGCCACATCACTAATTTACTAAATAGGTTTAATCGGTGGTAATAGCAAATTAGTTTCTAGAAATGACGTGTCAAACAGTTTCAGCGCTGTAAGTTTCACGTAAAAAGAGGAAGCTCTTGTCATATTTTACATTGTTTAGTTTGGCTAGCGAAATAAGAATTAAGAAGAACTAAAAATGATTTTTAATAAGTTCTAAACTGTTTGTGGCAACAAAATGATAGCCACATTGGCCGATGTAAAACAATTATAAACAGGAAGAAAAGTCGTACAGTATAAAGATCAATAAAATTTCAAGTGCTAAGGAATCTATGGTATCAACGAACGAATGATATAGAATGCTGTAGTAGATATGTCAGTCGTTGCTGTATAAGAGGAAAATTTAAAAGTAAAGCTGTTGTTTATGTGATTTTAAAGTATCAGTACAAAAAAATTTTATGATAGGAAAGTTTTATTTTCTTTAGCTCTATGGAGACGGACCAGCCAAACTCTATCGGCTTCCATGGCTATGTATGTATCATCATACTATTCATTATTAATTTGTTAAATTATATGGATCGGTACACAATAGCAGGTTAGCGCTTTACTATTAATAGAGTAATATTATTGCAGGAAAAAGTTAGATTAATACGCCAGTCTATTTCTCTCTTTGTTGTTTCTTTTTCTGCATACTCAGATTATTATAAAATTAGGATGATTTGATAAGGACGAACAGTTTGCTGTATAAATGAAAGGTTATGGAAGATTTTCAGCTGTTTTGACACAGGTTCAAAAGACTTATAACATCAACGATGCTAAAGGTGGCCTTTTACAAACAGTCTTTATCATCTCTTTCCTAATTTTTGCTCCAGTTTGCGGTTTCTTGGGGGATCGCTATAATCGCAAGTGGATTATGGCAATTGGAATCGCAATTTGGATTCTTGCTGTTTTTGCGTCGTCCTTTGTGCCAGAAAATGTAAGGTTCATTTTTTACTCAATCTTTCTTTGAAGTACTTTGCTCCTGAAGCCATATGGTGTCTCTTTTTCTTGAACCATTACAAGTAAATTAGGTTTTTGTAGCTTTTCGCAGTTGGCAAAAAGTGATTTTTTTTTTGCTTCTCTTATTCTGTTTCATGATGCGGTACTTTTATAGTTGGTGGGTATGGATGGTTATTGATGGGTTGTATTTTAGGTACTCTCCCTCTGATTCTTTACAATTTTTTGCTGGGCTTGATTCAGGAAACGGTTCTTTTTTTGGAAAATGATTCCAAAGAAACCTTTTTTCAAAGTTTTATCACGAATATTAAACGTGCGGGCCCACCAACTATGAAAGTTCCCATGATGCTTTTAAAGGACCAACAACTTCCGAAGAATGATATTATCATAAATCACTTTAGTGGTATGGAATTCTTACTGAGCGCTACTAGCCAAAGTTTTTAATAGTTGCAATGCAAAGAATTCTTTGTTATAACGACTTACTCAATTTTTGTAAAATTTTTTAAACAAAGTATTAAAAATTGCTGTTTAGCTTTTCTTTGTTTTCGTCTTACTTCGTGCTGTAATTGGTATTGGTGAGGCATCCTACATCGTGATTGCTCCTACAATCATTGCGGATACTTTTGTTTCTCTAGTGAGAAGTCGGGTTTTGATGTTCTTCTATTTTGCCATACCAGTTGGCAGGTTTGTTTGCATTGTCAAAAAGAGGTAGTAAAAATGATTCTCTAAAACCTCTTCTTTTCCAATATTTTTGAAGTTTTAGAAGGATTCTTCTTCATTCATTGTTTATTTGATACGAACTTTGAATTTTTATGTGTGATATTTTTCTTGTGTGTAAGGGAATTGCTTTCTTCTGTGCCAGCTGTAACAGCTATAGTAAGTGGTCACGTTGGCTCACTTCGCCACTTTTAATTTTTAGTGGTGTCGGTTATATGGTGGGATCTTGGGTGGCTTCTTTATTCGACGACTGGAGGTGGGGTATACGCGTAACACCTTTCTTTGGCGTCGTCTGCTTACTGCTTATTACATTGGTCATTAAAGAACCGAGAAGAGGGGAAGCGGAAAATGCTGTTGGGGCTGCAAACGCGCTGGAGATTGAAGCTACTTCATTTTTTGAGGACTTGAAAGCACTTTTTAAAATGTAATGGTAAATACAGTACTAAAATGATCTATTGACTCAAAAAATCAACGTTTTCTTCTTTTTTAGCCCAACATTTGTGTTTGCAACTCTTGGTTATACTACAGTAATTTTTGTGGTCGGAACGCTTGGCTGGTGGGGACCAGCCGCTGTCGAACATTCGTATGCTTCAAGAGAAGGCCTTAACAATACCGATTTTTTAGACACTGCAAGAAAAGAACGGTTAAGAATTTGAACATTCTTCTAATTTCTTTCATTGCTTTCAAAATTCCTTTCCTTGAGATACCGTCGAACACAACTTCTCAATGCTTGACATTTAGTGTTTCGTTGATATTTGGGGCAATCACATTGGCTTCTGGAGTACTCGGTGTTTTTGCTGGTGGTTTTTTAGCCCAAGTAAACTACATTTAATGAAAACTTCTGGTGATTTTGAAAACCATATCATTTTTGGACTATACGAGCTCACATTTTTTCTTGTTTTGTATCATTTGGCCCAACTTAATTGGTACTACTAGAAATCTAGAGATCAGTTTTGTGTTTGTAGATGTGGGCTCAAGGGAGTTGGTGTTTCAAGCCAATAAAGTCTCCGCGAAGCAATGCGCTTGTTTGTGCAGTTGGCTGCGTAATTGCTGTTCCGTTTGTACTTGCTGGCATGCAGCTTCTTCAAGTATCTGTGTTGGCTGCTTGGGTCAGTTTTTTATCCTGCTTTTTATTGGTTTGCAGAAAAACAGTGGATTTTTCTGGTGCTGTTTTGTCAAGATCGTTGGATTTACTGAGGTATTATTCTGACTTTTTCTACTGTGCTTCTATTTATCTTTAGATATGCATTTTCATTGCAATCACGAACCTCTGCTTAAATTGGTCAACCAATGCAGATATGTTGCTCGTAAGTTAACTCTCCAAACTTTGACTTTCACAGTACTTAGTGCTGAAAAATTCTTACAACTTTTTTGTTTTGTCAAACATTTGTAATTTTGAATACAAAAGTCTTGATATACTCCACTTAGGATGTCGTGACTCCGCGCAGACGTGGTGCAGCCAACGCTTGGCAAACCACGTTTTCGCATCTGTTTGGTGATGCTTCAGGTCCATACATTGTAGGACTGGTAAAACCTTATAATTCTTATACTACAATATCGTAACACTTTGGCTGTCCGGTACGTGAATAACATCACCGCCGTCTGAAAAAAAGCACCCAAATATCTGCATAAAATTAAAGATAAACGCATGAGGCATCTACCTCTTGCAGATCTCAGACTTGCTCAGAGGTTCCGAAACTACCCCAGAATCTCATTATAAATCTTTGGTCAATGCATTCTATTTCCCAACTGTGCTCTTGCTACTTGGTGGGATCCTATTCTTTCTTGCAGCATATTATTTCGTTAGTGATAATCAGAAGTTCCAAATAGAGATGGGTAACTTTTCATTAGCTTCAACATTTTTGTTTCTTTGTTGTGCAGTTGAGACCAGGTGTTTGCCTCACCTGGTTTCTCAGGTCTTCTAACAATTTCCTTTTCAGTCCGTTAATAGAAAAGAGAGATAACTTAAAGAAATAAACTGTAGGTTTTTCATCAGCGAAGACTGAGGAAGCATACCCCGAGCGTAAGGTTTCCTACAAGGAGGAAAAGGAAGATAATGGCCTGGATAACGCGGGTTACAACGACTCTCGGCTTTGACTAAACGATCTCTAGTTTATACAAATGAATTATTGTGTATTATGTTTAAAAAACTTGATAATTCTGGATATGCAATCTTTTTTGCGTATGAGTTCGCACTGTGATTCGCATTGCTCACTTGATGGTTTGCTAGTCCAGGTAATCCTGCCTCACTTTTGTTACATTTGACTCCGCTTTTTGGATTTCGTGCAGGTTTAATGGATGAGCATAACTTGTACGGAGCAAAAAATTGAGTGACTCACCTGTCAGTAAATTTATTGTAATTAATTTACGAACTCTTACCACTTCATATGCGGGTTGTTTATCTTGTTCTTCATTGCAGTTCACTGACGAAGTCCCTAAAATGTTGTTGGTTACTCATTAAGATGTATACCGAATTTTCAGCACAAAAACAAATCTGTACTTTAAAATTTCTATGATCGTCTCGTTATTTCTTTGTTTAATGACAGTTAACTGAAGTTCGTCTCTCTTCTTTCAATAATTAAATAGTTAAGTTTGTATTTAGCTTCTAAAATTAAAAACGGTGCGTGTTTGGGTATACTTACTCTTCTTGGGAAGCAAGGTCCCAAGAATGAAAGCAAGTGCGATTTCTGAGCAGTTTGGAGGTTTTTATATGTAGATGCCAATACTTGTTAGCTATTTTCATAGCCCTCTAGCCGCTGTACGTTGCTACTCTTCAGTATGTCGTACTGTCACATGGAGACAGCGTCAATAAAGAAGCATTACTAGACAGTTATGAAAACTAGATTTGTAAGAAGTTTTTTTATTTGAATAAATGGATAAACAGCTTTGCAGCACTTTTTAAGGAAAAGAACTGGGAAGTTACAGACAGCTAAGCTTAAAACTGGAAAAGTTGTTATTATTTAAGATTTCATGCAGAACTGTTGTTAAGATGTGCTCCATGTCCGACACTATCTGTGGACTTCATTAAGGTACTTCACCAAAATCAATTTCCAATTTCAAAAACAGTTAATTCCTCCCAGTGAAGAAGAAAACTGGAGAGTTGCTCGATAGAAAAAATGAAGTAAAAATTATTTTAAACAGTAAAGCACTGCAGGCAGTTGAACCAAAAAAGGCTCAGCCTTCCCTATGGAATCATTGCGGTCCCTACTTGAACCACTAACATAAGAGGTGTCAGAACGGTTTCTTCATCGCCTAACTGCATTGTGTACGTTGCCCTCTTACATAGGACCGCATGCGTGTTACTTTCGCTGGGTTTAACAACTAATGCAACGCGAGCCGACACCTCTCAAGCACCCTGTTACATAACAGACCTAGTATACTTGCATAGATGTAGCCTTTTAGGTTTGATAAGTAGTCAAGATATGGGAAAAAATAAAAGGCCATATAAGGAAATAGTGCTACGCCGGATGAAATTAGCTGAAGTTAAATATGCTTTACCACTGAACAAAAAGGCCATTTCTTGGCAGCCTACAATGGAACAAAAAAAAAAGTTACATGAACTGCTTTTTTTTGCTGAAAATTGAACTGGTAATTATTGCACTCATAGCAATGGCTATAATTAAATACAGACTGAAGGAACTTTAGGTTTCCGAGATTAATGTTTAAATTGCAGTCTAACCGTCAATACCGTTTTTTCCACTGTTTTCACTGATACTAAAATCCTTATAACTTCCTTTTAAACAGCAACTGCATAATGACCATGGCCGCTCCTGACAAAGTTAAAAATTCACATATAAAACGTTTTCAGAAATTAATATCCTCGATATTCATACTTTTTAGTTATTGTTTTTCTGGTAAAGCAGTAAGTCTTCATGAATCCTTCTTCACGAATTGCTTTTTTGAACGTACTCCTTGGAACATTAATTCTGCAGCCAAATTAAACCGTAGAATTCTCATCCACTCTTCATACTCCACACAGTCTGAAACACCTCTGGCACTATTTTAAAATGCTGGATACGACGTGGTTTAAATTTATCTACATGATAAGGATGAAAATTTGTGCAACGTTAGTAAATCTTTGCCCAACATACAAAGACTAGAAACTTTTAAATCCTTGCCCAGATTCACACGTCTCCCAACACTGAATAACTACTAACAGGTAAGGCAAATTGTACATTGCATATTTCCTAATGCCTGAAAAAACAAGATTTATACACTAACCGATACTAAACCCTAAGGGCCAACAGGTATAGAGAATTAATCGCTATTCCCAAGTCATTGATACACCAAATAAAATTCAAAAAATATACAATTTGGCTCGCAAAACACATTTTTGCAGCACAATAACACCGTCAAGAGCAGTATTAATTTACTGCGCCACATAAGCCCGCTACTGAAATATGCCGTCGTAGTCGTGAAATTATCGTTGATTGCTGGTTTCTGGTGCTGCTCCATCCTGCTTTGCCGTTTAATTTTCTATTTGTTTGGACACTTTGGGCCTAATCAGCGTTTAAGAAGTTTCTGTAGTACCATACAGAGCACAGTTTTGTTAACGTTTGTTTTAGATTTTAAATACTTGAGGTTTGTCTCAGCATCGTTATATAAACCTTTTACGGTTTTTTTTGCCCCTGCTAAGTATTGATAGGTTTACTTCGGTGATCTGGCTGCGAACCTGTAGTCGTTTGTATACTTTTTTACGATCCTTAAGGGTAAAAATGTCCTTTGATTAATTTGTCCATGTTTCCTGATAGCTTAATCTTCTTTTTTGGTTAGGTAGAATTTTTAAGACATCATACTCATTAACTGCTTAATGATTAAGTGTCATTTTTTGATAAGAAGGCTCTGAACCCACAAAAGTTTATTTTCAGTTTATTTTTGAATTGTCGTTCAGAATAGGTAAGTTACATAATTACGGCTTATAATTATTAATTCCTTCAAGGTAGTCAAGTCATGGCAGGCTACTGGATGGATGATAACTCTCAAAATTGGTTTTCTCAACCAGGTGGTGGGAAACAGCAGCAGGGCTGGGGACAATTCGATTATACGCAACCAAGCACTCAGGCTTCGCAGAATCAGTGTGAGTTTGGTAGTCTTGTTTTGTCTTTAATGATTCTGCATAAACGGCTGTTAGTACTTCATTTCTGTTCTAAAAAACTTCTGGTTTTTTTTTAGATTCTTACTATACACAGCAGACAACGTCCGGTCAGTCATATGAGGGGCAGATGTTCATACCATCTCAACAACCTTGTTAGTTCGTTTTTGCAGTTTTCTGTTGAAGCGTAAACCATTTTAACGCATTGTATGACTAGAACCTTATAATTAAACCATATTTCGCCGTTTTCACTTCTAAAAAATGGTTTTTTTGTTTGAAGTTTTTTTAATTTTTAGCTGCCCCGTCAGAAGACTTTGAAGATGAACCTCCATTGTTAGAAGAACTAGGAATTAATTTTTCTCATATTAAAGAAAAGACCCTGGCGGTGCTTAATCCAGTGGGAACTGTAGCTCCAGACGTACGTAATGACTGTATTATTTTATATATATATA